TTCTTTCTCTTTTTTTCGTTTTGGAGAGGTTTTCGCTGTAGGGCGAGTGCACTTGCCAGACAGACAGAGAGAGACAAAGAGACAGAAAGCGAGAAATCACCCCCCAGGGGGGATGGTCACGCCGCAATCCCTTCTCCTCCATTCTCCTCTCGGGATCTTGGGCACGCACGCACACGTGCCCGGCGTGAGTTTTAAGCCACCGGGTCCGGGACACGAACCGCGGTCGACTACGTGGGAGCCCAGCGACATAGCCATTACGCTAACTGCTGGTTCCCATCTTGTTCAGTTTTTCAGTTAAACAACCATGTCTGGTTTAGTATTTTCCATTCTTTAGAAGATTGGTAATATTTTTCTGTGGCATGGTGAATTTTATGATTTTGCTCAAGTTTTATGTAAGAATACCAATTGATCTAATACATGTTAAATATGCTGGATTTGAGCTAGTTACAAGTGGAGAGAAAAAATTCAGTGGCCATCAAGAGCATCAAAGAAATAGGTCTGATGTATGGGCGTTTAGTTTCCTTTTATTTCCCACTTGGTGAGGAAGAGTCTAGGGTTCATTATCTGAGTGTATCTACATGTGGCTAAATCAAAGCCTCACATTTCCTTTGCCAAACAATTGCCCGACTTCATTCTGTAGAGAGGTGTCACAGGATTAGGAATTAGTACCTTTTATGAAAACCGTCACATGTATGTTCTCACACACATTTCATGTACACAGTCATAAAGCGATAGTTCAGAAAAAGTTTATTAACATAACATGGCTGTTGCTGTGCTGGTCATTTTTAAATTATTCCCCTCTTTTGGAAAGATCTAAACCTTTGAATTCACAGTTACTGAGAATCCGTGCTTAACTTGCCAGTAGCAGGCTTGAGAGATGAGAGCTAACGTCAGGGGACAGATGTTTCCTTGTACAAATAACACCCCCTTATGTATTATTCTTCACTACCTCCACCCAAACAGCTACTCGACCTATGAAACACTTTGCACCATGAGCACAGATAACCCCAGGCTTCAAGTCTGTAATCTGAGCGTGGCTATCAGCAACCAGAAATGAGTTTCTTTTTAATCAGCTTTCCATCTTTCCCAGTCATTCATATAAAGGAGCTCAGGGAGGGGAGGATTCACATTGCTCTTCAGCACCACGGTTCTGGACAGCGCTCCGAGCAGGCTGCTGATCCCACGCCCCTTCCTCTCTCGATCTCCGCCAGAGCATCCACTGCTTCTCTAGTACCCCCTGCTGCAGAGAAAGAAAATTACATCGGGATCCATGCAGCCTGCAATGATGATGTTTTCCAGTAAATACTGGGCAAGGAGAGGGTTTTCTCTGGATTCAGCGGTGCCTGACGAACATCAGCTTCTTGGCAACTTAACAGTGAGTACGAAGTATCTGACGCTCTCTAGAGGAGTGTTTCATAGGGTAGTGATCGTCTTCTTCCCATCTTCTGGAGACCTGGAGTACGCACACACACACCTCAACTCTTCCCTCATTTATCATCTGTCTGTATCAGTTTCCCTACTGTCTGCATCCAGGCTTCCTCCTCTTCTCTCAAAGAACAGCTTGTGTACTGGTCACTGCATGCTAAATTCTTTTTCCTCAAGCTTCAAAAGGAGAAAGTTTAAAAACTTCCTGAACTAAAGAACAAGAAGTTGTATGAGTGTCCCAAATCCACAATGAGAGTGTAAAATTTTGAATGACCATTATGAAAAAGACTAAGGAAAAGAAATGAAGTAGATTTTTATTATTCCCACAAGATTAGTGTGTCTCCTACACCTGCTTTGGGCTACCAGGCCTGTCCTTTAAATATAGGACTAATATTTCCTATTCTTGGCTATAGATATGGGTTATTGAAATAAAACAAAGACTGATCTCTTTTTAAAAGTTTTCCTGTATATCTCATTATTCCATTTTATCATTTTAATTGAGTCATGAGCACAATATGCCACTTGTTTCAGTATTTAAGGGAGTTTTTATAGTTAAAACATTAGCAAATATTTGGATGATTTTAGGACCTGAGGTAATAGTTATGGAACTTAATAAAGGTGCTAGTTTTTCATTTATTCAGGTCCTAGACATTAAAAATATTAAAAAATTATTTTAGTACTGCACTATATGAGTTTATCCACCAATTCCAACTCAGTATGTATCATAAAAAATTCTACCTTAATATTGTGGCTCCAAGTATGTGCTGGAGCTTGGACTGTGCTGTTAAAAATGATGGGAAGTAATCATGGCAACTTCTGTAAAACTATTGAAATTGACTTGCAAAGAGGAGGCCAGAAAAGTAAATAGGTTTTCTAAAATTTCCATATCATGAATATTTGCATGAGGTATTACATTAAGGAGTTTTGAAGTCATAATGAGCTGTGAGAAGGAAAACAAAGGAAATTGAGAGGTATAGTTAATGTATGACCCTTTCGTACAAAAACTGCAGCCTACATATATGAGATCTGTGTTATGTGCCAAAGAGGCAGATGTTGGGAGTACTAAGATATTTGAGCTTTTAATGACTAAACACACTGTCAAATGTCAATGTCTACATAAACTTCTGCTCTTCCTCAAGTCATAAATAATAAAAAATCAGTTTCTATAAATAATAAAATATCAGTTTCTAGTCTATATAAATCTTGTGAGTGGGACAATACTCACTAGAAAATAAAGCCAGCAGAGGAATGAGGGAGATAATAGCCACTGCCTATTGGGTTCCATATGACACTTACCTTTCTCAGTCTCGTCCTAGATTGCTGTGATTGCGTTACAGCAACACTTGTCAGGGAGAGTGTTCTCTGTTTAACTTTGCATTTGCACCAAACAGACTGTCAGAGTTTCACATTGTCCATCACATAAGTTTCCAGTTTTTTTATTCTGTATTTCTGACACTGTGACCTCAGTTGCTCGAATCAGTCATTTTTACTTTTAGCCAATAGGGCTAATAGTCATTATTTAATCATGTTTTATAGGATCTCGAGTGACAAAGTGTTAATCTTTCCCAGTTCCTCAGATTGTACTGTCTGATTCTAATAATTAGCTAGCTGATTTTCTTTTTCCTTTCTTTTATTTGTGGCTGAATTGTGACAGCTGCTCTTTAGATAAAATCTTCTGATGCAGATGGCCTTAGTTGAATACACTCCTCTGTGCTGACCTCTTGCAGGTAGATTCATATTGACAATTGACAATGTGGGTCTAATGGCAGAAAGTAAGATGATCAGTTTCAGTACATATCCTGCCACCTTTCAGAATAAAATGGATTTTTAGGGGGAGATTTAATAGAAACTGAAATTACAGCTATCAAAAATATATGTTTTGTCAGGGCCGGCAGGTGGCATGGTGGATAGGGGCGCTGGACTCCCACATGACCAACCACAGTTCAAGTCTTGGACCTGGTGGCTTGCTTTCTCACTTCCTCTCTCTCTCTCTGATCAAACTGGAAAATAATAATGATAATAATAATAAATAAAGTTAAATAAAATAATTCTTAAAAATATATGTTTTGTCAAAATATATTGTTTTCATTATGCTTAGTAATTAATAACAGTTTTTTTATGCTTAGTAATCAATATAGTTTTTATATTAGAAATTAATATAATTGAATATAATAAGTAATTAATATAGTTTAATATAGTTAGTAATATAGTCTAATACAGTTAGTAATTAATATAGTTTCCATATTATTCAACAAGGCTAAAAGATCAAATTGTGTATTATAAATTAAACCTAGAAAGAAATGCAGGAATTATTCATGTATGATACTTTATGATGGTCAGATTTTGTTGTTATTAAATTGAAGCAAATCTGATACCCCTTTAATTTAACCACTAGATGATAACTTAGGGCACTGGAAAATAATGTTCTAGAGGAAATTAGACCAATATTTAAGATCAAAAGTTATGAGTGACATGGCAATTTCACCTTGAGTTTATATGGTTGATGGGGTTTTCAGCAAATGCGTGAAATATCTGGGAAAAAATAGAATTAGGGAGGAATTGGGAATCCTAACTAACATATATTTGTGTGTGTGTGTGTGTGTGTGTATGTGTGTGTGTGTGTGTGTGTGTGTGCTTTATCATCTTGAAGCTGAATAAAGGTAACTCTGGCAGAAACGATGACAAGAAAGGCAACAAGGGAAACAGCAAGAGTGAACCCGCTACTGACAGTGGCAAGACGGCAGTTGTGTTCTCCTTGAAAAATGAAGTTGGTGGACTGGTAAAAGCACTGAGGCTTTTTCAGGTGAACGTAAAATATCATTTCATAACTCTAAAAGTGACTGTGAAACCTGCCTTGAAAGATTATTGAATTAATTTCTGGATAATATGTTGAATGATTCAAAGGAACCTAATTTAATGCTGCTTTACATAGGGTATTTGTTTGCCCAACAATGAAGTAAATAGATCTGCATGAACTATGATTTATTAATTCAGAATTAACCGATTAGGAATGTTGCAGATTGTTGCAAAGTGAGAAAATCAGGAATTTGAAAATCGTGAACCTTACACATGAAAATGCAAACACAAAAAGAGCCAAACAAGGTATTTTTAAATAGTAAGAGCCATTAGTTTGATCTGATTTGTTAAAATTTGAATCATGTACAGGTCCTAAGAACACATTTTTTGCAAAGAGTGAGTTATATCAGTATAGATGTTTGGTAACCCCTAAACTTTATTGTTCATAAACTTCATGTGTGTTTTTGTAAAGATGAGCCACTCTCCATACATATAAATTGCAGGACTAGCTCTCTCTTTATTTTATAGAAATGCAGTAGTATTTTCCCAGGCCCAAATCTGGGATTTGAACCTTTAAGAATGAGCTGGGTTGGGATAAGGCTAGAACAGTTCAGAAAGGCTATTGTCTTCTTGCCAGTGCACACCTGATGGCTTTGCTACCCTTTGACAGACATCCTCCCTTACAAACGCATTTCATCTGGGGGTACTGGCTGCTGATTAGAGCTGTAAGGTAGGGAGTCAGTGAGTCTGGCTCTGTGTGGTGCCTTTGGCTGCTAGTGCAGTAGAAAGATGGTTAGATTGCAGTCAGAGGATTCGGACCTGTATTCTCCCGGCTTGGCTAATCACAAGCTGCTTCCACAGTTCAATTTCTTCATTTATAAAATAGCAATAATAATTTCTGCCTAACAGGGTTATTGGGATGAAATAATTTGAGCAAAAGTGCTTTTCTAAAAGTGTCCAGAGATGAGGCGTTATTATGATGCTTCTATGATGATTCTAGAGAGAGAATTAGCAGCCTGATTTGGCAAATAGTTCTTTGTGCTCTTTTGACCTTGAAGGAAGGATCAGATACCATAAACAGTGGTAATGGAAATGTAGGGTAATACTTTACATGTAATTATGTTATCCAGAGCGGTGTCCATACAGTGCCCAAAGGCAGACCAATTCAATTAGACAGCTGGGTGCACTGAAAAAAATCCCTGCGGAAAGAATTAGCAGACCCAAGTTTTCATTCTGCCCTAAGCTAGTCATGGGGCCCTAGCCAAACCATTCAATCCATCTGGGCCTCAGTTCCCTCAGCTAAAAATATCTACTCTGTTTCAGCCAAAGGATATTAAAGCCCAAAGTGGCACATTGTGTGAGGTCTCCTGGACCTTGAACTTAATATTAATCTTACTTTTATTAACAGCCACTTCAGAAAATATGGCATTATTGTAAAGATTCATAAAAACGGAATTGGAATATTTAGTTTCCTAGCCACAGGACTAGTTTCTTTATAAAGGAGAGAGGCTGTTTGATTTGGTTATGTTCTGGCACTGGAAACTGCTTGTCCTACTCCTATGCTGAGAGCATCTAGAATTGTTTCAGAAGCTGTGCTGATAAGCAGGTTGTATCATCAGAAGTGATAAGGTGGTATTCATTTATTTTAGGGTGGGCTGGGCTGGAAAGGAGAACCCAGTCTTCAGTTAAGTCAGAAGATAAAAACAGTATGTCACTGGGAAAATTTAAACCTGACTTTGGGACCAGCAGTTAGCGTAATGGCTATGTCGCTGGTCTCCCAAGTAGTTGACTGCGGTTTGAGTTTTGGACTCGGTGGCTTAAACTCACACTGGGCACGTGTACATGTGTGCCCAAGATCCTGAGAGGAGAATGGAGGAGAAGGGATTGCAGCGTGACCATCTTTCCTGGGGGATGATTTCTCGCTTTCTGTCTCTCTGTCTCTCGCTGTCTTTCTGGCGAGCGCATGCACTCTATAGCAAAAACCTCTCTAAAAAGAAAGATAAATAAAAAAGTTAGTGCCCTCCCTCGAGCACCTAATTGTAAGGAGATGGTTATCTTGGTGATCTATCACAGAGTGATAGTTCCAGCCACACATGTGGAGGAAGCTAACCTGGAGTTGGCCGAAAGAGAACAATTACTACATCATACCCTTTAGGGCTTGGTTTTTTTTTTTTTTTTTTTTTTTTTTTTTTAATCCTTCTTACTGTTCTCAAAGTAGGTTGTTTTCCTTTTGCCTTCAAAGATCCTCTCTTGGGACCAGCAGTTAGTGTAATGGCTATGTCGCTGGACTCCCATGTAGTTGACTGCGGTTTGAGTTTTGGACTCGGTGGCTTAAACTCACACTGGGCACGTGTACGTGTGTGCCCAAGATCCCGAGAGGAGAATGGAGGAGAAGGGATTGCGGCATGGCCA